TTATTATTAATTTTTAACTATATAGCCGCGGGGGGAATAGCTTTTTTATCCCTGTCAGGGGGTACCCCCCTCACAGGGCGAGGGGGCATCACTGGTTGCCTTTGTGACCCCAAAACTGTCCCGATTTTCCTCAAAAACACCTTCAAAACACGCTGACGTGGCCCCTGCACCCTCGCTACCTCCTGCCAGGCTACCTACAAACACCTAAAAAGCCACAAAAATGCGTGTTTAATTATATTTACTAATTAAGACGGGGGCTACCAGCGCCCATATGGACTCAGTCCGGCTCTTCATCAACCAAGTGGCTGCAGCAGGTTTGGGAATGTGGGAAAAATTCATATTCGGGGCATTTTGGGGTGTTTTGTTGTCACTAGATGTCACTGTCAGCTCGTGACAGGGACAGGACAGCGAGTGGTCACGCTGTGTTCCATGGCCAGCTGGGTCACGCCACCTCCATGTCCAGGCCAGCAGCCCATAGGTGTAGGGTGGGACATCTCCCCGGTCACCCAGATGGTGACAAGGGACAGACAAACTGCCTGGGACACCTTCCCCTGCCACCCAGATGGTGACAAGGGACAGACAAACTGCCTGGGACACCTTCCCCTGCCACCCAGATGGTGACAAGGGACAGACAAACTGCCTGGGACACCTTCCCCTGCCACCCAGATGGTGACAAGGGACAGACAAACTGCCTGGGACACCTTCCCCTGCCACCCAGATGGTGACAAGGGACAGACAAACTGCCTGGGACACCTTCCCCTGCCACCCAGATGGTGACAAGGGACAGACAAACTGCCTGGGACACCTTCCCCTGCCACCCAGATGGTGACAAGGGACAGACAAACTGCCTGGGACACCTTCTCCATCTGTATTTTGGGCTCTGGCCTCAGTGAACCCAGCAGTGGGCTGTGGAAGGCACTGCTCCGCCATGTAATGCCTGTCCCAGGGATCTACAAGGACCTAGACACGGGTGGAGCAATGCATGAGTCCTATTTCAATTATATCTTTAAATTAATAGTAGGAAGACCAGCAATTCTTGTCATAACAGCGTTACGTGTCCTGTTCTCCTAAGGTTTCGGTGATAAGTGTTGGGGAGTTTCATCCATTGAGCATCAACTTGAGTTGTGACCTGATCACCAACACTTCAAAGTGAACTTCATGTCTCTGGACAAGCCCTGGTGCCCACAAGATTAATT